TTTAAAACCCAGCGTGAAAAATCTAAACAAGCACACGTTGCGATTTCAAGGATTTGTTTTTTATTTTTTCTTTTTACAGCTTGATGCAGAGAACTATATTTTTGCAGAGAAAGACATACAGATGAAATAAGTGTTATATTTTAGTATTTTTAGATATTACGTGCGTTGCTACGTCCCCCAGCAGTGCAACAGATGTATTTAAAGACTGTGCTTACATGCAGATCCTGGGGAAATAATTCTGCTCAGATGGGTTTGCTTCTTGTTGCCGTTATTATTTATATGTGTTTCATAGCAAAGCATAATGGTAGCCACAGTAGCCAGTTTCTGCTTTACAAAAATATAGTGAGGACAAGAGTTGGTTTTCTAATAACACTATATATTAAAAATATATATATAAAAAAATCTGCATGTTTCTGACTCTGCTATAGCTCAGCTTCCTAAGAAAATGCGGCTTAAGAGCTCCTGATGCCCGTGTATACGGACCTGTTTTCTTTTTTCCCTGCTTCAAACCATTTTGGAGCCCACAGGCTGTTTTTAGCAGTCCCTGATGGGGAGCAACTGCAAACCTATGAGGCAGTGCGACTTCTGTAGGAGTAAAGCCCTAAATGAGTAAAGCCCTGAGTACCTGGGGCTAATTAACATCCCCATTGATGGAAACATCACAGTTTAAGTTTAGTTTTTATCAGACAATGACAAATCTCCACGGGAGAGACCTGCACCGCACAGAGCCAGGCGAGAGCAGACTTTCTCGGTCCCGCTGCTCACAGAATTAACCCCATTAAATGGGGCCAGCTCCATGTGATACCCAAAAGCCCTCGGTGGAAACGGTGTTGATTTGCACGGAGACCGCCAATGGACCAAGCTCATGCTCAGAAAAATCAGGATCATGAGCGGTCAGCAGGTAGGGTACAACTTCGCAATGATGCAGGAATTCCCAAACCTTTTTGAGATGTTATCATCTCTTCCACGCGCCCCATCCCGGGGCTCCAACGCCTCTGTACCACTAAAGCCCCCTTCCCCCAAGTGTCTTGCCCCTGCCACAGGCCATCGTCCCTTGGCACTAATGTTTAAAAGCCTTTCTTTTTTAAATGCAATATATTTATACTCCCATTCCACGTCAATCCCTCTTTACTGTATTTCATTATAAAATATTTTTCCTGACAGAGCAGCGGGAGCAGCCTGAAGACCACAGCTCCTCAGGAAGAGTTTATGTGGCTCAGTTCAGAGCTGTGCCTGGATTTGGTATTCAGGATATCCAACGATGGCTTTTTTTTGTTTGTTTGGGCCCATCTTCATGATTTCCGCTTTGCCATTTTATCTTAAAATAAGATAAATCCAAGCACACTTTGCAAGTCTGGTCCATGATCAGAGAAGCACCATTTTGGCCTGATTAACCCCCAAAAGCTCTTTTTAGTGGGTCTGCACTGGCTCCTGGCTGTATGACCCCATTGCAGAGCCGCCCAGCTGGCCGTACACCAAAGCCATCCATCAGATCAGCTTTTCCCTTCGCGTAAATTTGCCGGGATTATGCATGGAAGATGCTGCTTTGCCGAGTGGTAGCAGGATTGCCCAGGAAAACGTTTTTATTTGCTTGCGAAAGAATAAGGAGCTGAGGTCGCCGAGGCTAAACTCTCCCATTAGATGGCAGCAAATGCAGCGATACCTTCAAACTGTGGAATATTTGTGCTGCAAAGAAAGACCAGGGAGCATGAACGGGGCCCAAAAGAGAGATCGGCAGAAGAAAAGGCTTCCCAGAACAGCAGGCAGAAAGAAACGCCTGTCTTATTCCACTAGAAATCGGGTTTGGAAGAAAGGATTGAGTTTGTGCCCCAAGGTGTTGCGTAAAACAAGCGCTACTCCTCTCTAAACCTCCCCTCCAAACCTGGAAAGGAATTTTTCATCGCCAGGTTGAGTGAAATGCCAGGAAGGCAATAAAGCAATGTTGGAAAACATGGTCAGCACGTTGCATTTGAAAGCATCTTTCACCTTTAATCATCCACAGTCCCAGCAAACGTTCCCACTCCGGAATCAAAGGGACCGCTCATTTGCAAGCTGTGAAACACGCGCACGAGGATTTGGAGGAAGATCAAGGTCTCAGATATTAATAGCAACAGGGAAACACGTATTTGCTTGGACCACAGGAATTTTTTTTTAAATCAGGTTGTTTCCCTTCGAGCCATTTGTAATTCCTCAAAGCGCTCCACGAGAATTAGAGGAGCTGCCCCAGCCAACCCAATCATAGAATCATAGAATCATAGAATGTTTAGGGTTGGAAGGGACCACTAGTGGTCATCTAGTCCAACCCCCCTGCAGTGAGCAGGGACACTGCTAACTAGATCAGATTGCTCAGAGCCCCATCCAACCTGGCCTTGAATGTTTCCAGGGATGGGGCCTCCACTACCTCTCTGGGCAACCTGTTCCAGTGGTTTACCACCCTCATTGTAAAGAATTTTTTCCTTATATCTAGCCTAAACCTACCCCGATTTAGTTTAAAACCATTACCCCTTGTCCTAACGCAGCTGGCCCTACTAAAAAGGTTTTCCCCCTCTTTCCTATAGGCCCCCTTTAGGTACTGAAAGGCCGCAATCAGGTCTCCCCGCAGCCTTCTTTTCTCTAGACTGAACAAGCCCAACTCTCTCAGCCTGTCCTCATAGGAGAGGTGCTCCAGCCCTCGGATCATTTTAGTAGCCCTCTTCTGGACCCGCTCCAACACTTCCATGTCCTTCTTGTGCTGAGGGCTCCAGAGCTGGACGCAGTACTCTAGGTGAGGTCTCACCAGAGCTGAGTAGAGGGGCAGAATTACCTCCCTCGACCTGCTGGCCACGCTCCTCCTGATGCAGCCCAGAGTACGGTTGGCCTTCTGGGCTGCCAGGGCACATTGCCGGCTCATGTCCAGCTTTTTATCCACCAGCACCCCCAAGTCCCTCTCGGCAGGGCTGCTCTCAATCCTTTCTCCCCCCAGGCTGTATTGATACTGGGGGTTACCCCATCCCAGGTGCAGGA